GAACTTTGGTGAACATAGATTCACACAGATGTAGGGCCACAATTACACCTTACATGTAAGTGTACCTTCAGTAAATGAACAGTTAAGAAGTGCTTAGAGCTTGGACAAATTCTCCACGTAAGTTAAAACAACTGCAGATTTAAGAGGGAGATTTCCACCCCGAACCCCCCACTTTTTTTTCTAAATAGATTTTATGTATTCATTTAATGTTGCTATCATCTCCCACTTACTTTGCTTAGTTTAGGTCGTAGACTTTGCTGGTTTTAGTCTTTCAGGCTTCTAAGTGTTAGAAGTTGCCTTGGCACTGCTGTTGTCCCTTTACACCTTGAATTTTTTATGGAATTTTACTACCTTTTGCTAGTGATGAAGAAACTCTTTCAAGAAGTGAAAGCCCTCTATGCCCTTCTTGGGGCTGTAACAAGTATATAAACCTCCTCAGGAAATTCAAGAATAAAGAGCCCTTTCTAAGGCCCTCTTGGAAGGGTGCATTGAAAACACGCTAAGTGGATTCCAAGAGCTCTTTGGAAGGGAAATTTCAGTTAGTGTTTTGTTTTTTTAAAATACTGTTTTTGCAAAGTGAACAAGCAGGATCAGAACCTCAAGAAATTCCTCCAAATGAAACCAAACTTTCTGCATTGCTGGGGCTCCAGCAATCCTGCTAAGTACTCCCAATATACACAGTCCCTCACACTTGAAAACTTTCTAAGGTCTTTGCCTTAAGGCAAAGCCTGAGACCCATTGGTACAGTTTTTAATTGATGCTTTTACAGAATGAAATGTGGATTGCTATTTGTTGTTTATTAAATGTGAATTGCTATTTATTGTTTATTGCTATCACAACGATGGAAGCATATATGTTATTATTGAGAAGTGTACATGTATGTTTAGGGATTTGGCAGGAGACTATTGCTAGCAATTTCCACCTCTTGCTACTATAGGTAAAACAACTTCATGGGTAACAGGAAAAGGTGCTCTATTTCCTTTTAACTGTAGTTCAGGAAATTCATCAAGTTTCTTCCTTGCAATTTGTACAAGTGGGTTTGTTATTAAGTATTACTGATTGCAGTGACAGTATGCTCAGAGGTATAACTTTTACTTCAAAACATTCCATGTGGTTAAAAAAATAGTCTTTGAAGCTCTTTTATCTTTAGACTTTCTGCTAAAGTCATGGGTGATAATTTGGAAAAGGTTCACTGATTTTAAACCTTTGTATTTATTTGTAGCCATCACATAAAATGACAGTGCTGGAGAACTAGAAAGCTGCTATTCAGTATGGATGAAGCCTGAATAAGGATTACTGATGACAGCAAAAAAATAGTTGTGAAATTCACAGGGGAAACACGTGAAGTTGTGAGGAATTGACCCCTCGATTGCTATTGCTATTTCTTAACTTTAAAGACAATTTCTTATCTGCAGGAATTTTATTAGATGAAGAACAGACCACTCTAAAAGACTTTGCAACTTGCCTCTGAGTTGTCTTTAAGAAAATAGATTTCTTAGTATTAAAAGAATTCATTTTTGAACAAAAAAAAAAAAAAAAGTAAAAATTCCTTTGACCAAAAGGTGTTGGTTCAGAATAATTACTGAATCTCTCTTTTGATGTGAGATTTATACCTTTTCAAGATGTCTTGAAAAACCATTCAGCCATCCACAATGGCTCCAACATGATGGGTGGAGTACCATGGATTTATTTACAGGAGTAAGGAGATGGGGGAGCTAGGAGGAGTCAGGTTTATACGGACAGTTTGTCTAAGAAAGAAAGAAACAATGGATGTGTGTTCTTGACCTAGCTGCAAGAATTTCCCTTCTTTCAAATATAATCAGGGAAGAATGAAGAAAACCTAACATCTTCTGTAGCAGTCAGTTAATCATGTTATATTCTTTAGTATTCATATATCCTGGTCAGTATAGTGTTTAATATTTAGTGTTTGACTAGCAAAGCCCTTCATTCTTTGGCTGGAGATTTTGCATGTGTTTTAGACAGTTGGGAATACAGAATCTCCTGAGATTCCAGGAGAATTTCATGCCCTTTGAAAATTCCACTTTAATGCCTACATAGATTTTTCTTTCTTTGCAACTGGCCTCTCTCTAAGTGCAATGAAATGTTTGGAGGAAAGAGGTTTCTCACCATAGTGTAATCCCACTGGCAGAGAACGCTTGTGGGAGAGAAAGGTACCATGGCTTGTCCTAGGTGTGAACAGCTGAGCAAGTCAGGATTGTGCTTTCTGCCCTTATAAAGTATTGCATCAGCATTGACTCTGCGAGTGCTCTGCAAGGCTTCGTAGCTTACATCTAGGGTAGTGCTGTTGTCTAGTGCTGTAACTGCAAGCTCTGCTCACACTGTGACTTAGGATTCCCATATCTTTGAATCACGTGTTTCTCGTCTTCCTTTTTAAAAAGTCATTAATTAAAGGACTTTTATTCGTCTTGATATATGGAAACTATTAGCATATATCTCTAGGACTAGACTTTTGGTGCGTGCTGGTTACATTTCCATGGATTGCAGGATATTTTTGCTTAGAAATAATAGGATTTATTTTTGAAGATATTAATGCAACCCGCCTGTTATGTCAGCATTTGTATTGACAGCTCCCTCTTAGCATTCAGTTTTTAAGTGAATCCATGGTTCTTGCAGAGTAATTAATTAGTCTTTGGAAATACAACGAAGACTGACAAAAGAGTGGCCACCAGATTTGATTAATTGGTGTTTATTCAGGTAGTGGGTAATTGTTTTTTACAAACTGTATTAAAGACTTTGTCATATCAGGATGTTTTTTGAAAACACATATGACTTCATTAGAAAGTCAAATTAGATTTTACTGATTACTGAATCAGTACTAAAATTATAGATGAGTCTGCTCTTCAGATTTTTAGATCCTAGAAATTTACTTGGAAATTCAGCTTATTATAGACAGTGAATTTTTGGCTCAGCTTGTTGTCAAGATGGCATTCAGACCTAACTCTTAAAATCCCACGAAAGGTTTTGGTGTCTGCATGTTGGACTTGGATCAAAGGCCATCCCTAGTCAAAATGAGGAAAGGCTAGGCAAAGTAGGCAGCGTATGCAGTATGTGAATTGTCGTGTCCTAGGCTGAGTTACAACCATCTCTACATCTTCCTTGGCTTTTATGATGCTAGTTCAAGCTGTGTATAGTGAGTAACTCTGCAGTAATTTATAGCTAGATGTCTATGCTGTACTGAGAAATGGCTTGGACTGAAAGCAGGCATTGTGTGAGCAAAGCCTAATGATACTTCACATTTAATCTTTATTAGGAAATGTAGCTGAGCAATTTAAAATTAACTATTATTTTTGTTAGATCATTAAACTGGGTTGCTCACTTTTTATTATATTTAGAAAGACAGGACACAAATGTTGTTTCCAGACTATTTATTCTTGTGCCAGATCAATTGCCCGTTTATTTTTAAATATTTATGATCACCTCGGTTTTGCCCTGGTGTTAGTAATGGCTATGTTTATTTACTCTTGCGGTTTTCCAAGTTCTGGACACGGAGACATACTGAAGTCTTTTCAGCTCCCTTCTCAACTGTACAGTAAGTTCATGGGATAGCTCATCTTGCAGAGAGCTCTGAAAACCAAGGCTATATCTCTTCTCCCAGCATATGCTGAATGCAATTAGGCACCAGTTCAGAAAAAGCTTTGTAAACATTCTGAATCCATGCCACATTTTCTGGTCTCAGGAGCTGCCAAATGCCTAAATGCTGTATTCAAGCCAGATGTCTAAATATATAAAATGAATGACTGAACAAAGTGCCTCCTTAGTAGAGCATATGCATATAGGGTGGACAGACCCGAGAGGTCTGAGATCAGCTCCAGAACATGATGTTCTGCCAACCCACATCGCTGGCTCCTAGGAGGGAGACCAGAATACTCTGTCTCCTGGATGAGCTGTACGAGGAAGGAGCACCTTCACTCTCATGTTTTGCTCTCTTGATATGGGATACCAAGCCTCAGGAATCTCTGCTAGCAGTATCATAAGGCAAACTGTCACTTCTCAGTGAG